CAATAACTGTCTCGCAAAAAATAATGAAGATAAGATCTGCATTCTTTTTTCATAAGTGCGAGGGATTAAACCCAAGGCTTTTGCACAGGATAGGATCTGCATTCTAAGCAGCCTGCAGCCCCCACTTAGTCAGGTTCTGGCAGCTGTGTCATGAACATCCTGAGAACTGGTTTTCTCCACAATCCTGCACACACCTATTGCTACAGACTTGTAACCCATCAAATCTCACTGCTACCCAATTACACCTGAAGCTCAGGGTGTTTCCATTCAGGTTTGGTTTTCAGATTTTAATTTCATGTAGCCATCAAGATCTGAGTTATGGGGGATGAGGAGGTAGCTCAGCAGGTAAAGATGCTTGTCACCAAGTCCAACAGCCTGAGTTCAGTCCCGAAACCGACAAGGTAGTAGTGGAGACCCAGCTCCCACAGGTTGTCCTCTGTCTTCCACATACAGGCTGTGTGCCCATGCATAACGCACCCCTCTGTCTCTCACACATATACAATGCATATGTGTACATATCACGTATGTCACAATAATGTGAATCTGCGCTTCTTTGAGGAGGTGTTGTAATGGTTTAAGTAAAATGCTGCAAGTCCCCAGTGGTGGCAGTGGGCCACAAGACCACGCCGCAGGTCCCTGAGTGGTGGCAGAGGGCAGCAGGTCCTGAGATCACAAAGGCAGCCAGGCCCCAGGCAGGAAGCCGCATGGCTGGTGAGAGACTGAGACTGATAGGCATGCCATGCAGAGTGAAGTTGGATATTTATTTAGTGGGTTATGGAAGAGAAACGGGGGAAGGGGAGAAGTGGGAAGAACAGAGAGAGAGAAATGGGAAAGGGGAGAAGGAAAGACAGAAGAAACAGAAGCTGCCTAAGAGAGACAGACGGATGGAAAGGAAGAAAGCTCAGGCCGGGGGGGGGGGTGTCTCTTAAAGGGACAGCACAGACCATTACAGTGGTACTGAAGCTACCCTATAGGACGGCAGGTGCCAGCTGTGAGCATTAAGGGAGAAAGAATCTCTCCTAGGCAAAAGCTGAGCATGCAGAGATGTTTTAGGAGAAGGTTTAGTGGTCAAAGGACTGAACACACTTCTGAGGTTTGAAGGGAAGAATGGCATCGGATGCTAAGTAAAACTGCAGGGCTTTATAAATCAGAAGTTGGGACTGGGTGAAGTGGTACATGCCTACAACCCGAGTATTCAGGATGAGACATGAGAATAGTGAGTTCAGAGCCACACAGCGAGACCCTATCTCAAAAAAGAAAAAGCAAATGGGCTTTTCTTCTGCAAAAGTGAGGGGCAAAGCTCTGTCAAGCACCCCATCATTAAAAATCAATTAGAAGCCAATTCTAATTGGTTTTAATAATAAAAACCTGGAGTCAGATATTAGGGGAAGCAGAGCAGCCAGTTACTAGTTCTTACCTCTATGAAATCCTTAGACCAAACAGGATATTCTCTCTCTACAGGTTCTCAGACTGAATGTCCCAAGATCCTGTCCTCCCACACACACACACCCCACCTCCCATTCCCCACCCCCCACCTTGTATTCCTGTCTCCACCACCCTAGTACTGGGATTTAAGTTTCTCTTTAAGACTGTTCTCTTTAAGACTGATTCTACCTCCCGTAGCCCAGGGTGGCCTTGAACTCTTGATCTTTCTGCTTTGTCCTCTCAAGCACTGGGATTAAAGGTGTGTGCCAACCACTGCCTGGTCACTAACCAGTGACTAGCTGTACCCTCTGATCTCCAGGCAAGCCTTATTCATCAGAAACAAACAAAATGTCAGCACGGTGGATTGGTAGTACAAATTAACCTGAGAAACACTTTTGGCTGCAGGATCTAAAACAAATTATGGTAAATTGTGCAGTTAGGGCCATGGAAATCAAAAGCAGATGGCTCACAGAAATTTAATGTGCTGGATGAAACAGCTGATCCAAGTTGTCCTAAGATCCAAGAAGATTACTATGTAGTCTTCAGAACTTCTGGACACTCCATTTAGGTTGCCCAAGCTCTCAGCAGCTTGCCAAGGACCTTTATCTTCACCACCCCACCCCCAGGCCTCTCTTACTCCCTTTAGGACTTAATCAGAACCCAGCCCATTTCCCACCAGCAACTCTCCGAGCCACCAAGTGTTGTCTTGAGGCCCAGTCTCTTCCTGCCCTTTAGATTCAGCAGAACCCTGCCCACCATATGACTGGGACCCTCGAGTTGTCCTGTCCAGGCCTGAGACTCATGATCAGGCCACACTACCAGGGAAAGCCTGTTTGACCCTTGTTGGCCTTGCCACTGCAGGCACTTGACTAGATGACCAGCAGAAGACCCAGGACCTGGATAGAGACTAGCCCTGAATACCAAATAGGAAATCACAAGCCTAACCATGCTACTAAAGGCTGAATACACACACCTGTTGAAAGTAGGTGACTTGAACACACACACAAAAAAGGAAAAACTCAACCACCAAACTTAGCTTCAAATATACAAGTCTCAATGAAGAAATAGGAGCAATACACACATCCATAAAATACACTTACCTCCAAAATCCAAGTCCCTTAATAATGGCCCCTAATGAAAATGACCTGGAACTCCCAGACAGAATTCAAAAAACAACTCAGAGAAGACAAACAAATACAACAGGAAGTCCGTCTTATGAAATGAAGTTCAGATTGCTGGAGAAATAGGCAGGGTGAAAGAACAGAAGACCCTGACATCTGCAAATGGGCATAAGGAACACAGAGTGGAAGAGGATCACAGAAGCATTGGAAACTGGAAATGTCCCTTAAACTTTCCATGTAGCCTCCGAGTTACATGAGGTACCAAACAGGTCAGCTCAAAGTAGGCTTTGAAACTAAATTTGGCTGTTGATTACATTATATAGTCAGCTTTTCCATCGACATAAAAAAGATAATTAAGGAAGAGGAAAGTTCATTTGAGCTCGAATGTTTTTCTTCCTTTGAGGCCAGTGAAAAGGTAGACCATACCCTGCCCCTCACTGGACTCTGCAGCAGGAGAGCTGGCCCCTAGACCTCTGAAGAGACAGCCCACCCCTCACTATAAGTATAAAAGAGGTGGCCGTGGGCTTAGGGCTGGCTCTGCCCCTTGCCTGGGGGTGGGGGTGGTCCCAGTGAAGCCCAACTGACCAGCTCAGCTACCCCATACCCACATCTTGGGCCTTGGGTTGGCCCACCCCAACATCTACTCCACCTATGACCTGCTGGAGTGCATGAAGGCACTGGTCCTGCAGAACCATGGCCGCAGGATCTCCATGACTTGGGGCAACAGCAGGATGTCCAGGAGTTTCAGTGAGGGTCCAGTGAAGACGGTATGCCAGAGGCCTTGAACCAGGTCAGTGACTTACTGCAATGAACACTGTGTGGGTGGGGCTGATTGGACAAAAGGATACACTTTGTGACACACCACAGCACCCAATGCCACTAGGATGAATGAAGAGGTGTTGGAGACAGAAGAGGACCAAGGTAGGTTTTGTTGTTGTTGTTGTTGTTTTATTTTTAATTGATTGGGGGGATATGGGGAGGTGAGCAGGATTGGGGTGCATGATGTGAAAATCCCAAACAATCAGTAAGGAATTATGTTATTAAATTTTTTTAATAAAAAGAAAAGGTAGGTAGGTCATAGAATTCAAAATACATAACAGCAAAACTTATACCTTGTGACCCAGAAATAAAAGAAGACCACACTACCATTCCAGCTGCCTATACGCTTCCCACCGAACCAGCCGTGATGGCACACATCTGTAACCCAGCACTTGGGGAGCTGATGAGAGACTCTGGGTGTGATGTGCAGCATTGCGTAAACACCTGTAACCCCAGCCCTCTGCTGCAGGAGGTGCTGAAGACCAACCTAGGCTAGAGACCCAGATTTAAATAAACTCCAAGCTAAACCACGTGTGCTGGAGGGTGTCTGTTGTCCCAGCTACTCTAGAAGCTGGGGTAGAAGGATCACTTGAGAACTAGAGTTTAATAATAGACAAGAGACATAAGACCCCAGTCTCAAAAACATAAATAAATAATCCAAACTTCTCCTGCATTTTAAATATCCAAAGTAAGCTGAAAATGATTCCGTGACTGAGCGGTCCTAAGTAGTCGGTAGCACTCTCCTAATTGAATAAATGGACTCGCGTTCCTTCGGAAAGCCCAGAGGGAAGGACTTTAAAGTCCTGTTCCTAGAAGCCTACGATAGTAAAGTAGTGGACGGCCCAAGCGCCAGTGAGTGCTTAGTGTTCCAGTCCTTCAGACAGACCAATAAGATCACGCCTTCTCTCTGGATGGGTTAGAGGGGGTCTTGCTATGTGACCTTCACTGGCCTGGTATTACCCACTCTGTAACCCAGGACAGCTTCGAACTCCAGACGCTTCTGCTTCACCCCTCAGCGCTCGACAGTGCGCACTTACCACCACGTCCAGCTTTTTGATGTGGGTCCTGGGAACCAAACTCAGGTTCTCATGCTTGCATGTTAACAACTTCGCCAACTGAGTCATCGCCCCAAACTTCACTCTTCACAAATCGCCTACTCCATGAGACCACTGTTTGAGAAACCCAGTCCCTGAGGGCCTTTCCTTCTGGCTTAGGTAGGGGTTCACCCGATGGGAGCTGACAGCAGACACTAGACAGGACGGTGAGAGAGATGGTTTCTTGTTCCTCACTTGGCAGCAGTGCCATCCAGGCTCGGGAAGGAGCTAGATGCCTCAAAACGTAAGTTCAGGCCGCTCTGCTCCAGCTGACTCACCTTAACCTCCAGGCCCAGGAATGACAAACTGCCTCCAGCTGTTGCTAAGCAATCCTATCTCCACAGTATCTCACCAATGTCTGCGCCCCTGAGCCCTGCCCACTCCTGTGAGTAGTCCTTTTGAGTAGCTTATCTAGTGGGTCTCTTGCCAGCCCCCTCCCCAGCTGTCCCAGGCCTGTTGAGTTTTCGTCAAGGGGGTTGACTGCATACTGTATTCTATAAGATCCTCTCCATTTTCAAACAAAACACCACAGAGCCAATGATATGATTCAACATTTTATATCAGGAAAAAAATCAGTTTTCCAACATTAATTCCATTGAACAAGTGCACAGCATTTGCATGAACTCAGGGCAACATCAGTACAAAATAGTTTCAATTTGTAAAAAAGCCATTTCAAAAGGAAACCCTTGATTACTTCAAGGTAAATGCCAACACCGCTTGGGAACAGGACATAAGGCAGGAATATGGCTGCCACGTGGCATGGGAATGAGCTGGCCTGAATAATGTTATTGCTTTTCTACAGCAGGAGACCCCAAATTGCCCTCCAAAACCCAAAGAAGTGGGGAAAAAATGTCACCTTCATTTGTTGGGATAACCTTAGTCACAGTAAAATTTTCTGTTGGCTGATCGGCAAGACCCAGCAATCAGCCCTACATGTATCTACCTAACCAAAGGAACGCAGAGTGGAGAGAGCCCTACAGGACAGTGTTGGGAAGATAGGATGTGCCAAGCACATAATCCTATAGAGCAAATAGCAGCCAAATCCTCTCCTCGTGGGCTAAGACAGCTCCCGTTTGATCTGTGGTTTTTCCTGTCCGGGAAGCTCCTGTTGACCTTCAAGTTACACGACTACCAATTGGAGGGCAGCCAGTGTAGTGAACTGGAAAAGCAGAAGATGGCAATTTGTAGGAAAGGTGACGGAGGGGTGGGGAAGGGGAGGTCACAGAGCCTGCTATCACCAGAGCAGGGCATTAAGAAGAGCACTGGCTGCTGTCTGGGAACCTTGCTGGAGCATTCATTCTCTCCACCTTTCTGCCCATGTAGTGGACATTTTTAAAGACACCAGCAAGATAAAAAAAAAAAAAAAAAGAATCAATCTCTAGGTAGACACCTGGTACTTCTGTTTCCTCCATGACAGCTATGTCTTCTGTGAAATAATGTTCCTTTAGTAACACAACTTCCCAGAAGACTCATAAATACAGTTTGGCAGTGCAGACCTTCCCATGCCAAGGCCCTCTGCAGACTCTAATACTATCGCTGGAAATCCACCCAACTGCTCACTCACCACGGACATCAACCCACCCCAATGTGTGCTCCAGGTACTACATGGCCCACCTACTATTTGCTAATGTCACACCCTCCGAGAAACCTTCAGACTGACAGCACGCTCGGCCACAAAAGGTCACTTGGTGTCATGTGCCCAAACTGGTTGTGTCCAGGCTTACAGTTCGTCATGTTTGGTTTCCTGGTCCTTGAGCTTAAATTCCTCGGCCGTGACCTTCCCATCCCCATTCCGGTCCTGGTTGGTGAACATGTTCTTCACGATCATTTCAGCATTGAATCCGGGGGCCAGCTTCCCCTTGCCTGTCGCCACCTGGGCATGAATGTACTCTGAGAACTGCGGAGGGGACAGGACAAATGTGAGAAATGGCAGAGCTGAGAACGCAGAGCCAAGCCTGAAGTACTGTGACATTAAAGTGAGGAGACTGTAAAGTAAGAGGCTGTGCTTCCAAATCAAGTTGTTCTCAAGAACTACCGGCCCTGGGAGTCTCTCCTGAGACGCAGGTGCAAGTCCCTAGACTCGGGACTGGAGCGAAGGCTCAGCAGTCAAGAGCACTTAGTTCCCAGCACTCATGTTGGGTCGCTCACAATCACCTTAAACTCCAGCCCCAGGGGATCTGATACTCTGTTAGATACATGCATATATTCCCCACACACACACACTCATACACAGAACCTTAAAGATAAAAATAATATTCAATTGTTTTTAAATTACTTGACTAAAGGACCTCAAGTCCTTAGCACCCGGATATCCAATAAGCTTCAGCCACCAGAACACTTTTAGCTTCCTACCTAAGGCTAACCAGTCCAAAATCAATGTTGCTTCCACATATTCCTTCATTCACACTAAAAACCTACCAGCATCTACCATGTGCCAAGCATTCTAAATCATGGGATACACCATAAACAAAATTGCCCTTGTGATAATTGATATTCAACATGAATATAAGTAAATTACATTTTAAGTTACAAAATGGAATGTTCCACCAAAGAGAGAGTGGGGAGAGCAAGGTACAGTTAAATAGGGAGAGTGAAATTTGGGGGACAGAAAAGAACCTCTGGGGTTAGGGAGACTTGTACAAAGGCTTGAAGGAAGTCAGGGAATGGGCCAAACAGTTGTCAGTTGAGTCTGTTCCAAGCATAGAGAGAAGTGAGTTGGTTCAGATGCCCAGGTAGGAAGCCTGCCTGGGAGGTCCTCAGAACATGTACTGAACCATACAAAGAGACACCTGGTGAAGAGGTGGCAGCCAGCAGATAGAGAGGGCCCTGACAGCCCCAGAAAGGCCCTGGAGATGGGCCTCTGCAGGTTTGAGAAGGAAGGAGCTGCGACTGACTGTCTGGAGAAGCTCAGGTTGAGGCTGGCTTAGGGTGGGGTTAGGATCAAGGTTCAATAAATGAAGAAGTAAAGCAAGTGGTTGGATATATGGATGCAATGTGGGGAGATATGCTGGGGCTAACGCTCCCAATCTGGGATACTGGCAGACATTAACCCAAGGGGCGTAGTAACACTGAGACAGGAGGAAGGCAGAGAGAATAAGGAACATGGTCCAGGGTCCAGCCTGACGCCCTCCCACAGGAAGACAGCAGAGAGGGGTCTGAGAAGGAATTTCCAACAAGCAGGCATGATAGAAGCAAAAGGGGGTCCTGCAGGAGTACACAGAAGCAGTGCCAAAGAGACAGGACCAGAGGCAGTGGCACTGAGGTACAAAGGCTTGAAGGAGTGGCTTTAAAAAAGAATGGATGGGGCAGGAAAGATGGCTCAGTGCTTAAGAGCGCTGCCTCCTCCTTCTGAGGACCTGGGTTTGGGAGCACCCACGTGGTGGCTCACGACTATCTGTAACACCAATCCCAAGGCAACTGATACCCTCTCTGGCCTGCATGCATGTGGTACAGGCACACATGCAGGCAAAAAAAAAAAAAATCCATACACATAAAATGAAAATAAAGAATGAAAAGCTGCTCACAATGGGAAGTTAAAGTCCCAGCTACTTGGAAGGAAGATGCTTTGAACTTAGAAGGGCTAGCCTGGGCAAGAGAGGAAGAACCCATCTCATAAAAACAAAATAAAGCCAGGCACAATGGTGCATATCTGTATTTCCAGCTCTCAGAATAATGAGGAAGGAAGACCATGAGTTCAAGGCCAGCCTCAGAAAAACCTTCTCTCAAAACAAAAGAACAAATAAAAAATGCATATAATAAAAGAACAAACAAACAACAACAACCAAAAAAAAAATCACGGAGCAAAAGATAAAAGGGAAGTAGACAAGACAAGTCTTTTGCTGTAAAAGGATCAAAGAAATGAAAACTCTAGAAAGACATAACACAACATATAAAATAATCGTGCTGGGCATGATGGCGCATGCTTATCACCCCAACACAACACAAGACCACACGTTCAAGAGCAGCCTTGGCGACCCAGGGACACCATGTAGCAAACACAAAGGAGAATGGACAGAAGAAAACCAAAACCATGTGTGATAGTAAAAGGAACATTCCAGGCCCAGGAAAAGCTGATTGTGCAGGAAGACAGAGTTAAGACTGGAGCATGTGCTTGACGGAGCAAGTCATGAGCTCTAACCCCAGGCGCTGTGACAGCACAAAAGACTGCTGAGCTCCCCTAAGAAGCCACGGCCCTGGTCACACACTGGGTAGCTGAGACCTTCCATGGGCCACCACTTCCTCTGCAGGGTCTTCTAAAACAGTGGTTCTCAACTTTCCTAATGCTGTGACCTTTTAATACAGTTCATCATGCTGTGGTGACCCCCCAACCATGAAATTATTTTGTTGAGACTTCATAACTATAATTTTGCTACTGCTATGAATCATGATGTAGGATATCTGACATGCGCCCCCATAGGGATCGCGACCTACAGGTTGAGAACCATTGTTCTAAAACACAAGCAGACCTCTCACTGGGCTGCTGTGAGGGCAGCAGCTGGAGAACATGTGTCCAGGCAGACCTGCCACGAGCACCCAGTGACTGGGAACCAAATCCAGATCTGTGCATTTGAGATATCCCTACACCTCTCAGGAGCTCTCTTCCTGCACGTGGGAATGTGTGTGAAAGCCCTCAGTGCACACATGAGCTAGTTACCACCATCTGCATGCCCAGCCCTGTCCTCGGCACAATGAATGAACCCCTGAACAACCGCTGAGCCTCCTCTTACAAAGGCCATTTACCTCCTCCAGGAGGACCTCCCCATTGCCATCCTTGTCGATCTCTTCAAAGAGGTTCGGAGACACTTCACCATTCCATATGAACATGTACCCCTCCGGCAGGCCAGAGACAAGCTCCAGCAGCTCAATGTCAAACACCAGCACGGCACTGCCAGGCACCTCTCCATCTGTGCAACGAAACAGAGCATGGTGTTAAACCACAGGCTGACCCGGTTGGGACCATCCACCCATGCTGCCCTCCGCGGTATCCAGCTGCCATACCCAAGGAGGCCACTTGGGTGGCCTAATTCCCAGCTAGTGACCCCTCGCAGAGGCATGAGGCCAGCTTAAAGGAGGATGACCAGCATTTTTTTTAAAGGAATAAGATAAGCTAGATCCCTGAATATTCCATACAGGAAGGATATATGTCTTTTCATGAAACCTGAGTCTCAATTTATACACAAACTAAATGTAGAGGCTGGGGAGAGAGACTGAGTTTAGTTCCCATTACCAATGTCAGGCATGGGCAGGCAAAATGGCTCACCAAACCCGAGTAAGATTCCCAGGGCCAACATGGTAGGAGAAAACTTACACCACAATCTGTCCTCTGACCTCCACACATATGTACACACACACACACACACACACACACACTAAATGAATAAACGAATGAATGAATGGATGAATGTTCAATAAAACATTTAGCCCGGCACAGTGGCACACACTCATAACCCAGCGCTAGGGAAGCTGGGAAGAGGTAGAGACAGACAGGATGCCTGAGCCCAGCCAGTCCAGCTTATTTAAGTCCCAGGCTAGTGCGAGACCCTGTCTCAAAGAACAAGATGGATGGCACCTAAGGAAAGACACTCAGCATTGCCTTCTAGCTCCACACATGCACTCACAAATACATGTGACCCACACAAACACGCACACGCATAAATGAAACAATTCTATGTTTATGCAGAACACAAAATGAAATACAGGATAAAATCCTTAGGTCATGTCTGTTGGCCATGCCTATAATCCTGGCACTTAGGAGGCTGGAGTAAAAAGACTGAAAGCTTGAGGCCAGCCTGGGCTAGACAGGAAAACGTTGCTTCTGAAAACCAAAAAAGTAACAACCATAGGAAAAGTGTTTCTTGCTTTATTCTTTGGTAAAAGCAAAACATTTGAAAGCCACTGGTAGGGATAACAGTTGTGGAACCTTTTCTTCCTTTTGAGGTGCCAGAGACCAAGCCACGGCCTCCATATGTTCAGCCAGCACTCCGTCGCTGAAATGTACTCCCAACCCCAACTAGAGAATTTTAGGATAAATTTAAACTGCAGAACTTTAAGGACAATAACAATGCCTGAAAATTATATACAATTCAAGGTTAATATATACAGTAAGACTCAAAAGAAGTACTATATGTATTAAAAATAAATATTATAATTATTAAAAATTATAGATTAGTTTTGAAATTTGCTTTTTAGTTTTGGTGCTGGAGATTAAACCCAGGGCCCCATGCATGTCAAGCACAAGCTTTCCACTAGTTATAGTCTATGTTACATACAGTGTATAATATAATTATATGTCATAAGAAAAGTCATAAAGGACACACAGCTTTTGAAGCATTTCTTCTGGGATAAGTGAAAGGAGCAGGCAGTAATTGATCTATTTTGAAATTTCTTTTAGTTTGGGCTTTTGGTTTTATTTCTTTGTTTGTTTGTTTTTGTTTTGTGAGACAAGGTTTCTCTGTATAACAGCCCTGTCTGTCCTGAAATTCCCTCTGTAGACCAGTCTGGCCTCGAACTCACAGAGATCTACCTGTCTCAACCTCCCAAGTGCTGTGATTAAAGGTGTGAGCCACCACTGCCTGGCATGGTTTTTTTGGTTTGGGTTTTCTTTAAGAAAAAGAAGATCACTCCAGTATGCCACACACTTTTACAAACTGGCACCCTTCAGTACCACCTGTCTGCAGTGTACACACCATAAAGGAATGCTCTGGAACCATGAAGTAATAAAGTAAAATGTATCCCTGCAAGGATGCAGCAGCCGGCTTTTCCAGAACACAAAAGCAGTCTCTAGCGTACAGCATCTTCCCTGACTTACAAGCAACAGTGAACAGCAAGGCCTTTAGCACTCTACCTGGTGCAGGAAATAGTTCCGAAGAAGCAGGCAACCTGACCCCAAATGACCCAAACCCCTCCTCTGAGGCCTGGCAGATGAACCTGCAGACCACTGGTGTGTTTTCTTGAAGCCTGGCCTTTCTAAAGCAGTCAGGGGCAGTGACACTCACGGGGTCTTTAAACAAAAATGCCCAAAACTTAAAACAGGAAAAAAAAAAAAACACAAACCTCACCAACTCTGCAGTGTTAACATAGAAGCGACATCTATGGCTCTAATTACGGCACCAAAAGCCCAAAGTTTAGATAGGGAATTTCCCAGCAGTCCTGAACACCATCGCTTACCCACACCGGCCTCTCCATAGCCCAGATGGGGCGGAATGATCACCGTTCGCTTCTCTCCCACACACATCTCTCTGAGACCCATGTCCATGCCCAGCACAACCTGTCCAGATCCCAGCACAATGTTGTAAGTTTTGCCCAAGTTCCACCTGAAAAAGAGAAGAGATGAATGAGGGCCCTCAATGGTGACGGAGGGTGTTCTACTACTCAACACATACAGTTCTGAGGAAATATCAGACAGACCCATGGCAGGGCGCGCTGTAAAATAACCAGCCCGCCCATTTCTAAACTGTCAAAGACAGGAAAACCAAGACAAAATGGCCATTCCACAGTATAGGAGCACACTGGTTTGGGAACTTACTGCCCTGAGGGATCCTACAGGAATTCTGGTAAAAAGGAAGTAGAAGCAATGAGCAACGTGGATATATTCCTGGTGACGGCTGGCTCTCCAGCGGCTCCAGGGAGTAAGTTCTTTATATCTAGGTAGGCATTTATGAGAGTGTAAACTATATAATGTAGTTAGGAGCCTGGATTTGATTTTATTTATTGCTGATTTATTTAGAAACAGTGGGTAGCCCAGGATAGCCTTGAAATCACCATGTAGTCCAGGATGACCTCAAACTCCTGATCCTGTTGCCTCAGACTTCCAAGTGCTACTAGCTAGCATTGCAGGCAAAAACCAGGCTGAAGCCAGGCGGTGGTGGCGCACGCCTTTTCACAGCATTTGGGAGGCAGAGGCAGGCAGATGTCTGTGAGTTCAAGGCCAGCATGGTCTACAAGAGCTAGTTCCAGGACAGAAAAAAAAAAAAAAGAGAAACCCAAAAAAAAAAAAAAAAAAAAAAAAAAAAAAAAAAAAAAAAAACGGCAGAGGAAAATGGCTTTTAGGTTCAAGGCCTGAAGTAGAACCCTGGTGTTCAGCTAGGAGGTAGCCCAGCCATTAAGACCACTTAAGAATACTGGTTCTACTATTTTATTAACCCTGGGAAATGTAATCTTGGTTTCTTTGTCTACCATGTAGAGATAATAATTGTCAATAATAAATATGCTTAACTTTATGTTTATACTTTAACATAGTAGAAAGCAAAGAAAAGGGTGTAAGACACTGTGATCTATACAATCTCCAACTCCCAAGATCCCAATGAGAGTTTCACTGACCACGAAGTTCAGGGATCCTGCGGACCCCGCTGAGAAGTTGGCCCCACAGCCTCAGCCATGACTGAAAATCAATCAGTGCTTCAAAAGCTACAGCACTCCTGCTACTTCCCAAAGGCTAAGGACAGCTATCACATTCTTCATCCCCTTGGTGCCCATCACCAGGTGGTGACAAGGAGCAGATGTCTCCTGAGGGTTACAGCTTCCCAGCCTCCACAGGCCAGGACTGCCACTTCCTTCCCTCCTTCCCAAGGCCGGCTGATGTTCAGAATCCAGCAAACCCAAGATGACCCCTGTGTTTACCCTACCTAGGAAGAAAATGACCCAAAGGCAGCACCGGCACGGGACATTCTCAGGAGAGGCCTGCGGAGGAGCCAGCACCTCTGACCTACTGGCTGTCAAGCCTTTCTCCAGGCTGCCTGTCTCTGGTCCCAGCTGGAAGCAATACAGGTGTCTGAGGCTTAGAGAATATCCAAGACTTTGCTGACCCCATAACACACACCCCATTGAATCACAGAGACAGTAAGCAAATCCTCTAAGCAAACAACTCCATTGTTTCTTTTCTTTGGGGTCTATTTCTGTTTATTTACTTATTTTGTGGGATCGTCCAAAGCCACCCCTGCCCCCCAGGCTTCCTGCTTCCGGTCATGAGTCCCCTCAGCGCTCTGGCTCCTTGCCCAGTCTCACACTGAAATCTGCATGTCTTCTGGAAGTAGCATTGTGCTAAAGTCATCTGAGAGAAGGGAACTTCAGTTGAGAAAATACCTCCATGAGATCTGGCTGCAGACGAGCCTACATTA